ATCCTCTACCACATTAGTTTCCACACCTACAATCCTCTACCACATTAGTTTCCCCACCTACAACCCTCTACCACATTAGTTTCCACACCTACAACCCTCTACCACATTAGTTTCCACACCTACAACCCTCTATCACATTGCTATACATATCACAACCCTCTACCATTGTTCTCCCCACCTACAACCCTCTACCAAATTATTCTCCATACCCACAACCCTCTACAACATTGTTCTCCCTACCTACAACCCTCTACCACATTACTTTCCATAAGTACAGCCCTGTACCACATTGCTTTCCATACCTGCAACCCTCAACCACTATGCTCTGCAGACATGACTGGATTTGGATTGAAATGTGCACATCTGGAACCCTGTACGACATGCTTTTTCATACAACCAATGCTTTACTACATTATTAAGTTAAAGTAGACTGATATGTTTCAAGAAAAAAATCAATGTATTTTATTCCATGCTGATGCAATACAAGGAAACGTATGTAAGAATCACTCAGTGTATCATAAATGATCACAATAGGATATACATGTATAAAGTATAAATCAGAAAATACGGTGAACCGAAAAAAAATGTGTCAGAAAAATATTCACAATCAATACATTTACACTCAAAATTTTATTTACAATGTTATTTTAAATCTTATTATTTTTGTACATACTATTTTCTTGAAATATAATAAACAAAATATTAAAGTGTGGGAGTAGAAAACACACAAACCATGGCTAAGGTTTACAACACAACATGAACAGCAGTATCTTGCTGTGAATGTCCATACCCATGCATTAAACATGGCACAACATAGGTGAGAAACTTGCATTAAAGAGACTCGAATATCCACACTATCAGTAGAGAAAAGCAATATGTTATTCAAATCAGTGGTTTCAGTATTAGCAAGTATATTTACATATTTAAAAGGAGCAGTAGAATTACAAAAAGTTATACAGTGATATGGAGGATGGAGTAGATGATGAGCATATGGTAAAATTTTCAATTTAGAAATGAACCCTTTATTTTTTATTTGGATATTTGTTAGCTTAGGAACATGACATGCTTGTTACAATATGTAAATGAATCATTATAATGTTATTCCTTTTAAGTAGAATGTCCATGCAACATTAGCTGCCCCACCAGCTGATCTGGGACATGTCACAACAAGCTTGCCCATCTTAGGAGCTTTGGAGCTATCGGAATTGCCTTCAAACCCTACTATGATATTGTGTGTCTTCTTGCCACGAATATTTTCACCTGGCTTGCAGGTAAAAGACGCGTTGTCCACTTGGAATGTGAATGCGGTTGTGTGAGAGAAGACGTTACGGAAAGGAATGGAAGTCGATGAGCCTGCTTTGATAGTGTAGGGCCCCTGTGGTTTTGGTGCAATGCATGTACCAAATAACGGTATGATATAGTCACCAGCTTGCGGTGAACACACTGTCAAAGTGGCTCGAGTTTCTCCCAGTTTGGATGGTTCAAACGTAACATCTACGTTGAATTCAGTGCCGCCACTGGATGCACGCACTACAGGTACTGTTTTATCGGTGTGAAATTCATTACTATCCACCTGAAATGAACCACATAATTTGGGTGAATACATCGACCAACATTACCAAGTAGCAATCATTCTACATTAGATCATAGCAAGTGAATATTCACTTTACCTGCTGACCCAAAGATCAGCATAGAAA